GACCAGCCCGGGTAGGTTGGTGAGACCTCATCTCTACAGAATTAGCATGGCAGCGCACACCTGTAGTTCCAGCTACTTGGAAGGCTGAGGCAGAAGGATCGCCTGAGCCCAGCCGGTCGACACTGGGGTGGCTGTGAGTGTGCCACTGCACTCCAGCCTGAGCAACAGAGTGAGATTCTGACTCAAAAAAAAAAAAAAAAAAAGAATAACCATATAATTTTTTAATAAATCAATTCCACTTTTGGGGGGTCTCCCATATGTTTTCATATATGGTCTCCTTTAACAAATCTATGTCATATCAGTATAATACCTTTAGAAGTTGTAGTTCTCTGAGTTACCTAGCCAGAAATATAAATATTTCCCCATCTCTCTTTTATAGTGATAAAATAGTAAAGTAGTATATGTTCAGACACTGTGCTTATAGAAGTTAACTAACTGATAGAGAAATGAGAAAGAAATGGACAAATTTGAAAATGCTCTTTAATTTTGGTTGAAGGTACTTTCCTTATGAAAATTAGTACTTCTCCAGAGTGGAATAATTTCCTATTTAAAGCTTCAGTTGACGTGGCCTGGTTATACTGTGTGAAAGAGATTCCAATTACTTATTGAGAGGGATTGCACAGAAACAGGTCCAAACAAAGCAGAATTCCCTTCAAATTGTTCCATCCAAGTTTCCTTGGTCCAGATGGCTCCAATAACCAGCCAGAGACCCCACCCACACCTTCCCACTCCCACTGGGTGCTGGCCCTGAACATGCACTAATGACCTTCAGCTGTCCTGGCTCCCAGGCCAGCATGCTCTTCCTTCTTGGCCATCCAACCTCACATCTCCTGCAGAGGGAAAGTAATTGGGGGGTGGGTGAGGGGGCGGTATTTAAGAAAAAAAGTCATACCTTCAGGAAAACAATTTGGGTTGTTGTATCCGTTTTCTATTGCTGCTGTAACAAATTACCACAACTGCAATAGCTTAAAACAACACATTCTTAGTATCATTAAAGCTCTGGAGGTCAGAAGTCTAAAAGGGATCTTGGAATAAAATCAGGTGTCAGCAGGGCTGCATTCCTTCTGGGGGCTCTAGGAGAGAATCCATTTCTTCCCATCCCAGCTCTCTGAGACAGCTCACATCTTTTGGCTCATGACTACCTCATTGTGATCTCTGCTTCCACCATGGAATCTCTTTCTTTGACTCTGACACTCCTGCCTCCCTCTCATAAAGACCCTTGTCATTATATTTGGCCACCCAGACAATCCAAATAATCTTCCATCTCAAGATTCTTAAATTAATCATATCTGCAAAGTCCCTTTTGCCATGCAAAGTAACATACTCACAGGTCTTAAAGATTAGGATGTGAACATTTTGGGATACCAATATTCTGCCTACCAGTTTTTATTTTCCATTCTTTAATACTCCTATCAGTTACTACAATAGCTATCTCATAAACACATGTACTGAATGAGATGACACAGAATAATATCTATTATTATTTTACCAGGCTAACCATCTTCAGTACTTCATTCATGGAAAGATTAAAAAATAAAAAAGAAAGCAAATAGAAGGCTGATAACCTGTGCAAGATCTTCTTAGCACTCACTTCTAAACATTGCCAAGGACTTGTTATCACCGAAAAAAACAAAGCCTGTCAGGGAGTTCTGTGTTATTATGAGGTGCCAGCAGATGACAGATCACCCTGTGAAGTGTATCTGCTTTGGAGTAGGTACAGCACTTCAGCTGCCAATCACAGCAAGAGACCCCAGAAAAGGGGTCTCCAGATAGAGGAGGCACATATTTATAAAAGTGTTCTTACCCAGTCTGATTAGGGCGAACTCACACATACCATCAGGAAATTATCTTCAGTGGAATTAAGAAATTGGAGTGAGGAAGGGCAACAAAGTCATCTGATGTCTTAAGTTAGAGTTAGAAACAGATGGGTTATGAGAGAAATTACAAGGCAAATGTGGCATGCTATGAGGATTCAAGATAAGTACAAAAGAAGAAATGTTAGGTTTAGAGTCTATTCATTCAATTCAATTCAAATAGAAGTCATTTGATGATAATTTCCTCAGCCTCTTCTCTCCCAGATACACAGCCTACTGTTTTCATGCTATTGGCTTGGCCTCTATCCCATAGAAAGGTTCAATGGCCTATACTCTTATCCAGGCCAAGCTCTCCTCTTGTGACTGGCACCAATGCCCTTCAACCTACCTATGGATTTTCTTTCTGCAAAGATCTTTCTGCCAAACTTTTATTTTCTTTCCTTTTTTTCATATTCATCATAAAAACATACTACAGTACCTCTCATCTTTTAAAAATCCTGCTATTATCCCATATTGTCCTCATTCTGCAGCTCCATGTCTTTGTCCTTCTTTATATCTCTCAGAAGAAGCATCTATAGTCACTGTCGCCATTCTTATTTCCCATTCTCTACTTAATCCATTTCAATTCAGCTTTTGTACTCACCCTCCCTGAAATACTATTTATCAAGGTCCTCATTTATTCCCATAAGGCAAATCTAATGGGCCAGTCATAAGTCTCATTTTTCTCCATCTTTTGACAAAAATGAAAACAACTAATGAGATAACACACTCTACTGGTTTTCCTCCTACCTCAATGATCAGTCCTTCCCAACTTCCTTGGCTAGATCCTCTTCCCCTTTTACTCTATAAAAGAGTCCTAAGCTCAGCCACTGCTGTCTTCTCTTCTCTATTTATCTGTACTCATTTCCTAAATGATCTCTTCCATTCTTATGGCTTTACATACATCTACATGAAAAATGAGTCTCATTTGGATACCTCCACACTTAAGGAATGCATCTTCAATTTCCCCTTGCTATTGTTTGAATGTTTGTCCTCTCTGAAACTCACACTGAGATTTAATTACCATTGTAACAGTATTAAGATGTGAAGCCTTTAAGAGGTAATTAGGTCACGGAGACACTGTCCTTATGAATGGTTTAAGATAATTGTTTTAGGAGGGGATTCCTGATAAAAAGGATGAATTTGACCCTCTTGTTCTCTTGCTCACTCCTGCCTTCCTCCCTGTTACCCATGCTATCATCATGTAATGCCTTCAACCATGTCATTGCAGTTGCTGGTGCCATGTTCCTAGACTTCTCAACCTCCAGAATCATGAGCCAAATAAATTTTTCTTTATAAATTACCCAGTCTATGGTAGTCTATTATAGAAACAGAAAATGGACTAAAACACGTCTCCCCACATCTTACCCAGTGCAGTAAATGTGCCACAATTCACCCACTGGACCAAGCCAGGATCCTTTGCTTCTTCTTTGACTTCTCTTTTTCTTTCACACCCCACATCTAAATTTGTCAGCAATTCTAGTCAGCTTCACATTAAGAATAATCCAGAATCTTGCTACTGTTCCTCTCCTCCACCACATCACCGTAGGGCAAACTACTCTTACCTCTCACTTAGAATCATGAAATAATAACCTCCTAGTCTCTCTTCTTCCACTCTTGCCCTTGTATAATCTACTCTCTGAATAACATTCATATTTATCCTTCTAAATCATAAGTTAGATACAGTCATTTTATTTCTCAAAGTCCCTGAAGGGATTGCCATCACACTCTGAAGCCCTATGGGTCAGCTGAGCAGTGCTCCCCCAACCACAAAGCAGCTCCTTGACTCTCTCTATCTCTAGGTGGCCACCACTTTGTTACTTCCCCAGCCTCCCTTCTTTGATAACCTTTCTCTAGAGACACTCATCTGTTTATCTAATTTTCTCCATCCAATACTTGTGTAAAAGGCATCAGCACATTACAAGTTCTTCAAAAGCTGGCTAGATTTTTTTGTTTGTTTGTTTTTTAGTATTAATTACTTAGCAAATCTTTCTCGGGGACTTAAGCAACTCTACTATCCTAAGGGTTGGGGTACTGATGATTTAATGTTAGGTTTGTGGCTCTTTCATTCCTTGAATATTACTGTTCAAAATACAAACATTCCCACTCCTTCATGAAAAGAGTCAATATCTTATGATAAACAAAATCTCAGGAAATACTTTATTTTGTGACAATTATTACTTAACATTTAAAAGCTAATCCTTAACATTTGTTTACTCTTATAAACATGCTGACATTGACTTGTCTATAAATATTTGCCTGAAATGCTTTAAAGTTGATTTTTGTTCCCTTTAAATAACTCTAAATTTCTCTCAAAACTTAGAGAATTTTTTCAGTCACACCATAAGTATATTCCAGTGCATATATTCTTAGAAAAATAACATTAGCTTTTAAAAGATTTTTAACTTGAAAACTTCCACAGATATTTAGGGACAAGACAATAGTATTTCTAAACTCAGCTTTTTGTGATACTGAGCATTCACAAAATATTTCAATTGTGGCAAAGATATATGCAAGCTTGAAGAAAGATAAGTGACTAGAATGGTGATTCTCTGGCTGAGCTGGGCTTAACATTCCCCTTAGCTTGACAAAACTTAAGCAGAGTTCTTCCTGACTCTTGGCCCCAACCTTATTTTTCTTAGGGCATTTACTTTAGAGAACTTGTAATTGTAAATCCCTTCTCTGCTCCTTTAAGATGTAAATCTTTTAATAAACTTACCAGTTTTACAACACAACATTTTTTCTTAAGAAACTGAGAGCCATTCCTCTGAAATATAATCATCAAGAAGGATAGTGTCCCTATCTTTCTGTATCTGTGGGAGCATGGGAGACAAACTTTCATGGGCACCAATCAGCAAAAAGAGATGTCCTAAACAAGTAGGCAAATATCTGCAAACTGTAGAATAACTCAGTGAACTTCCTCTCATTGGTTAACCTCACCACTGAAGTCCTCTAAGACTTTTCCATTTGCTTACCCAGCACTCAAAAATCTTCCCCCCTTTTGTTTCAGCAGAGTTGAGTCTAAACTCTCTCCCGTGACAGTAGTCATGATAAGGTCTTCATTACCAGTTTAGCTTTGCCCAGTGCAATTTTTACTTTGAACACTATAATCCCAGTACTGGAGATGACTAAGCTTTCAGTACTCACAGGCTTACCATCTTGACCAGGCTGTCCAGGGTAGCCGGGGTTCCCAGGGAGTCCAGGGTCACCCTGGACAGAAAATAAACAAACTTCTCAGTACAAAACAACCAACCACTTTGGTCCAGTCAGGACCCATCAAGGCTCAAAATCAATTCCATTATTTGAGGCTTTTTGTACATTAAAAACAAAAACAAAAGTCAAAAACTGGGGTTAGAAAAATCATGCCATAGTTTAAATGCTTGCCTTAACAAATAATGCTTTTTATCACATAAAAATCTCAATGATTTATTTATTTGACCACACCAGGTGTAGCAAGTGAAGCAGTTTTCACTATTGATAGATATAAAAAGTCAGTATTTATGGTAGAATAATACATTTTTAAAACTTTAAACAAATTATGAAGTGTCATATGTGCTAATACAGTATTCATGATAGCAATATCTGACTCAAAAGTCCATAGACTTGATTTTATCCAAAATGTTACACCACATATATCGATGTCAAATAATATAATAATTTAACTCATAATTGTATATTTAAATATACTCCATGTATATGGACTGTGTGATCTCACGTGCAGGACACAAGTTTAAAACTGCTTAGTCGTTTCTTTTAATACCATCAATGTCTCACTCTGTCTATACTTAGAATCAGTTTAACATGATGTCAAAATCCTAAAACTTGAATATTTTTATGAGAGCAAGGTCCAGGCCAAACAACTCTCTCCCAAGCCCCATACTCCTTGAGTATATGTAATACTGAAGAAATGAAGAAAATACCATCACCCTCAAAACCTAAGATCTTCAAAGAACATTGTTCCATACAACATAGCAGTGAGTCCAGGAACATTCTAGGGAACTCTTGTATGCTTCACAGTGGTTGGTACTGACCATTCAGATGCTTACCATCTACTTTTAAAAAGCAATGAAAGCAACACTTCTTGTGAGGTGAGGGTGTTTTATAATTTGATTCTAAGAAATACTTTTAAAATAGTCTCATATCCATCTATCCTTGAGTCCATGAAGTCCACATGTGGCATCTCACTGAAGAATAAGAAGTCTCTGCCATCAGTATCAGTGCACTCCTACAGAGAGACTAGTGATTCTCATTCAATGATTCTTCACTAGTTTTTATCACAGGATTCCAGTGATTAAGGGTATTCTTAAAGAGCCAAAGTTGCTGGCTTGAAATACTACTTCAGACTCCTGGCTAGGGAGATTTGTTCCTAAAACATAACAGGAAAAATGGAAAGAACTAAGTGAACTCTCTTACTGAACCAATAAAGAAGGGATGGGCTATTCACTTAGCAGCGGCCCCTCAAGGCTTAGCGTGAGGAAAGGCTGAGAAGAAAGGAAATGCCATTTTTAAGAGAGAGAAGAAGAATTATAAATCTGAGCCGGAGGGGGGAGGTGGTGATAGGAAATAATGCTGCAACATGTAATATCATGCTGAAGAAATACAATTTGTAATTCTAATCCAAGAACTGGCAGTGCCTGCTGGGCGTTAGGGAGCAACTTTCTGGGTCTCTAAGGAGTCAGAATTTCTCTCTCCAGCCTCCCTGCCATCCTTCCTTCCCATGTTCAGATTCGACTTGATGCCTTTCGAGAAATTCCATCTTTTTCTTCTCCTAGGAATAAATTTTCTTCCTTTTCCACATGAGAGTCAATATGACAAAATTCTCTATTCCTGCACCTCTCTTATCACTCCACTTTCTCCTGGGGTCTTTTCCTATTGAAATTCTGTGGCAGCTCCTGTATCACTCACAACTACGGCTTTCTTTAAGTTTTCTCCTAGTCTTTTTTTATTATTTAAGTTGAACCTCTATATTAAGGTCTGTATTTTCTATTTTCGTTTTTCACAATGCTAGGTATCAAGTAGAAATTTAATAACTACTATTTTCTGACTGATTTCTTTCCAATGAAATCTCCTGTCAGTGACCCACTTATTTGCAGATTATTAGTTTTTGGCAAAATCTAGGATACCAAAAGAATCCAAGAGGATCCTACCATGATGAAGCTGAAATAAAGTTTTGGCACAAGAAGAAAAGGGACACATGTTTTATGCTGCAAAGAATCACAAAATATAATAGTAATTGGTTTTTAGTTCATCAAAATCAAGTTAGCAAGTGAAAAAAATCACCCACAAGATAAATCCATTGTGACTTCATGAGGGTCATAACACTGGTCAGCAGATCCAAGAGGGAAGGAAAATAATCTCTTTTGTGGATTCTATTCTTGCTGTTATATTTTACTGTTTATTTTGACTATTGCCTTCACTGAACTATTTGTTGGGGGGGGGGACCCAAACAAACAAACAAACAAAAAGCACTCAGGTAGGTTTGGTGTTGTTCCCATAACACTGACAGAAAAAAGTGAAATCCTAACTAATTTAACTCATTGGAGAGAAGACCAATTATAATAAAAAGTCAATTTTATTATTATAATAAAAATGGACACCTAGTCTTTATGATTTATTATATGCTAAGCACTACTCTAAAAGACTTACATATATTAAATTTCTTGATTCTCATAATAATCCTCTGAAACAGATACTGATATTATTCCAATTTTCTGTAGGTAAAACTGAGGCCCAGGGAGGTTAGGTGACTTGCCCAAGGTGACACAGCAGAGGTAGAGGTGTAATTCAAACCCAATCAGTCCAGCACCAGGGTCCCAGCTCCTAAACTCTACCATTCCTAACTATGTCAATATACAAACACTGATCAGAACCAGACCCAAGAACTGCTAGAAAATGTAACATGGAGAAACTTTCCCAAATATGTTAAATTAGGTATATGACTTATTACTATATAACTGTGACTAAATTCTCAATCTACTTTATTATAATTTAGTTGAAACATTTGCCACACTTTGAATTTTCAAAAATATGTACTCAGCTGAAAAGCAATACTTATTTATGCTGAACTGAATTTGTGTCACAGGATTTTTGAGTTGCTGACAGGAGTAGAAATGTCATGGACTAAGCTAAATCATCTCTGAATAGGACCTCTCATGTAGTATAAAAATAAATAATTAGCCGGGCTCGGTGGCTCAGCCTGTAATCCCGCGCCTTTGGGAGGCTGAGGTGAGTGGATTGCCTGAGCCTGCGGGTTCGAGACCCGCCTGGGCAGGCGAGACCTCATCTCTACAATAAATCAAAAATTCAGCCAGGCTTGGTAGCACATGCCTGTAATTCCAGCTACTTGGAAGGCTGAGGCGGAAGGATCGCCGGAGCCAGCAGGTCGAGGCTGCGGTGGCTGGGAGCAGCCACTGCACTCCAGTCTGGGCAACAGAGTGAGACTCCAACTCAAAAAATAAAAAATAAAAATAAATTTAAAAATAAATAAATAATTAAAGTAAGACACAATTGTGCTTACAAAAGTAAGTTAATATGTTAAGTTTCTCATCCAAGGCAAATGCCTTTGGAACTTTTCACCTAGCCTGAAAAGCATGTTTTTAAGCCCTCTTTTCAAAATCCTTATGCCTTCATGCATACCTGACCTAAGACCTACTCCATCCTTCAAAACCAACCTCTTCCCTCTGTCAGAACCCAAGCACCACTCCCTGACGCTGGCAGGAATTCACTCAGTCTGGGAAAATTAACATAAAAATGTGACTGTTCAGTGGTCCCTGAAATTTTCCAATGGTCTTTATGCTTTAGACAGAGAATATTTTGATCATCCAAATGAATTTCTAGTTGGCAGAATTATTAGGGTGTAACAAAGGGCATCAACAGGGATATGGTGGTAGAGAAAATGGTATTTCAGAGCAAATAAATGTTTAAAAATTGTTCCCACCTAAAAAAGAAAATAAAATGTTTTCTTCTTACTTCTAAACAAATATATCTCATATTTAAAGTTAGAGCAAATGTGGGGAGTTTGTCCCCACAAATATTTCTATGGTTATTGAAGTGGGGAAAAAGTTGTCATTTGCATGTATGGGACATTTGAGAAGGAGTTGTTTGCAAGCTAAGAGTTGCCTGGATCTTTCTTACAGAACAGAAATATCCCTATAGGTTAACCGAGGGAAGAGGTAAATCTTATTTTTTCTATAATTTCATAATTCATTCAAATTCACACAAATTATTACTGTTAAGCACTGTGCCAGACACTGGAGTTCCAAAGAAAAATGTTCCTTTTATTAACTATTGTGAACAAAAGAAGTGCCTGCCTATAAAGATGATTGCAACAAGTTTATTAATTTAATTATTCCCTGTGTTTGACAAAAGGAATAAAAATGATAAGCTATTCTTCAAGGAACTTACAGTCTAGTTACAGATATATTTGCCAATGCTTAATAAAGAGTTATAATGACACAATAAGTCTAAGGTGAGGTATCTCATCATTTTAAACAGACTATGCAACAAGATTGTCACATTTTTCAGATATTTAGAAAGCTTTAAACAGATGATTTTCTTCATCTTATAATAAGCACTTACCCACTTACCAAAACAATAATTTCTCTTCTGTATCAGTCTCATGACTTAATACTCAGCTCCCGAAACTCTATTTCAGGCTAAGAGAAGGACTCGATCTGTTCTTTGAAGGTGACTCTATTTATTGGCCATCTGCTAATCTTTCCAGAAAGCATCCAACAAAAATCCCAAAGTAAGTGGGATCTAAAGTAAAATCGCCTCATCTGTTTTAGTTCAGATTCTGTTGAACTAATTAAAATTCTATCAATTTTCAAAGCCAGAAAAGAAGTGCAACTCGGAGTGTAACTAGGGATTCTGTTTTTCACATACAGGCCCTCAATCTGGGTAAGGAACCCCTCCAGGGGAAAGATCCCTAAAAAGATCGAAGAGTGTGTGTGTGTTCCTGTCCTCTTGCCAGGTGTTCTGTAGAAAATGGAAAGCAGATCAAGAAGACATGCCAATTTGAAGACTGGTGGAAAACTGCAATTTCACTTAAAGCAGTAGGTGGCAATGGGGCTAGATTATGACTAAGAAAAGAGAATGAAAATGAGGAACACATGAAATTGGAAATACTGAAAAATTAAAAACTTCACCAGATAAGACAATGGGTATGCTCAAAACTTAGTGTAGAAACATATGTGAATAAAGATAGGTGATACTACAAGACACCTCTTGGACCATGTATGAAGAATCAGAAAACATCAGTGGCTTCAGATGCCTCCCTTAAAGTGGACAGTGGCTTGAAGACACTGGAGGTGACCTGAACCTCACTGAAAGTCAGGAAAGCACTTGGTATTGAGAAGTCAGATAGCATAGGTCTTTTTCTTCTACATTATATCTACTGCAGATCAAATTATTTTATATACAATATTTCAAACTGAATAAACTTTATAAATACTTTTCAAGGAATCTACTGGTAGGGCACATCAAGATGTCTTACAAGGTATATTCTTTTAGAAGTTTCTTGTAGGTATTTATCTTTTTATGTCAGGACATCCCAAATAATCTGTGTTTACTTTAAAGGACACTTAGATTAACTTTCCTAAATGTAATCTAAAATAGTTTACAGTGATAAATTGATTATCATGTACTGCAGTCAAATTCCAAGCAAAACAGTAATTTACTTTAAATGAGACATTGAATATATGCTTCTTAAATTACATATCTTTCTTACATTTAATGGCATAGGAAAATATTCAGAACATGTTGCTATGTACAAAGTAACTCATTACAAAATAATAGGTACATCAGGGCTCCAACATATTAAAAAGTATATGTGGCTCAGCCTGTAATCCCGCGCCTTTGGGAGGCTGAGGTGAGTGGATTGCGCATGCCTGTAATTCCGGCTACTTGGAAGGCTGAGGTGGAAGGATCACCGGAGCCCAGCAGGTTGAGGCTGCGGTAGCCGGGAGCAGCCACTGCACTCCAGTCTGGGCGACAGAGTGAGACTCCAACTCAAAAAATAAAATAAAAAAGAAATAAAAAGTATATGTGCATATGTAATACAAATGCATAAGTAAATGCAACTGGAACATATGCATATATGAAAATGATTAAAAAGAAATACTCACCAAAAATAATTATTATATGATTAAGTAAAATAAATGCATATGCCTCTAATTTTAGAATTAGACATCACACTCATAATTTTAAAATCGATTTAAAACTTTTAACTTTTTTCATCTGAAAATCACTTTGACAAATTAATAATTTAGACATTTAAGAATTTAGAACATATCTTAATACCTTTTCTTCATATTATAAGGAAGTACTATTCTTGGGATCTAATATCAGTATTGGAGGAAAAAAAACCCAAACATAAATAAATAATACTGCCTCAATTTAATGTGGACTAGGGTTTTGAGTTTTAGACTCAAAAGGCAGTTCCAGATTAGAATATGCTTTTTAAAAAAATCACCAAATCTCAGGTGTTAAACTGTTATAAGGCATTAGGTAAAAATTTCCCAGTAGAGTCAATGGTGGTCAGAAATTGTATAGGTTTATTCAACTCTTGTTTGCATGTTTTAACAAAAATAGCAAGTTAGGTATCACTCACTTTGGGGCCTTGAAGTCCTGGTTTTCCGGGAGGACAAACGCAAGGTGCTGGAGTTGAACCTACATCACTGGGACCATTAAGGCACTACAAAGATAAAAATAGAAATAGACAACAAACATGGAAATGGAACTATATATAATATATGTGTGCATGTGTATCTAAATGTGTGTGTAAATATCTCACAGTTTGTTTCCAATTTTATTTAGCCTAATCCAATAAGAAATTCCCAATCACACAAATCTATAAATACTAAATACATTCAAGTTATATAAAATGGGTTCTATTTGTCTAATATACTTACAGTTGATGGAAGAAAGTCAAACAGCCTCACAATGCAAATATTACTATAAGGAGAATAATAGTATCCAAGCCTACCTCTCCATTCTGAAAGAAAAACAACAAATGTGCTTTAAAATACATTTTTAATTAAATTTCTAAATTATCATCCAAATTTACAGATATTTCATTGTCCAGATGACACAAAACATCAACCAGCAAGCACCAAAATATTAGTTTGTATCTATCCTAAAAAAATTGCTTATTTATATAAGTTATTACTCCATTTATAGTAGGATAAAGGAAGAAGTTTTTAAAAGTAAAGTGTGGAAGAAGAAAATAAAGAGGCTAAAGCTGCTTGATATAATAGTCATGCAAAATAAAAAATATCTCAAGGTGAGATTTACATGTAAATCAAAACACACCTGAACACCTGATGAACACATCACAAACTGCATGCATTAAATTTTTCTGCACTTTAGGAGAGTTTCTCATTAAATAGCCTTTTTACTGAATGATATACAATTTTAAATAGATCGGTAATCTTTCTAACCATAAAAAATTAGATTAAAAATTAGAAGGTAGAAATGAAAGTGAAAAAAGGCAAACAAGCCGCATGAAGTCGCAACTGAGAGAAAGGAAGGAGACATAAAAACATTAAAAAATAGATGCGAGAATTCAAAATCTGCAATCCAAAGTTGTGCTTTTATTATTCAGGGGACATTGATAATGGTCATATGTCAATGCAGAAATATCAATAAACAAAGAATGTACAATAGAATTTTGGATGCAATGATTTATTAATATTTTCAGGAGAGACTGATATTCCAAGTTATAAGTATTCAAAAAAACTGTAATGTTTAAAAACTATCTATCCAGAAAGCCTAGAATGAGTCATTTCTAGAAGATTCCATGTTTGATTTTATTACTCCTTTTTAAAATGTACTGCTTTATGTCCTCAAGATTTAGAACAGGTGGCTTCACAAATTATCACATTTAATAGGAGAAAAAGTTGATGACAGCATGACTATACAGCTCAAATATTACTGGGAATCTACACTGGCAAAATGTTTTACAACGTTCTACCATATTTCCACTAGCAGCAATACACCATTTTTGCCCAAGGGAAAAGGGATTGATCACATACGTACCACACACCCCTACTTATAATCAGATGCTATAACATTTTAGCTTATAATATTTTTATTCCTAGCATACCATTGAAAATAGCTAAATAAATAAAAACATTATTTATATTTTGAAATATAAGAAAATCTTACTTAGGTAATAGCAATGAGAAGAAAAGTATCCAAGTATTATGGTTTGAGAAAAAGTACAGTTGAAAAGGAAAATTCTTTATTTCCTCCTATTCAGAACTGTGCTATTTGAGGTGATCTGTCCAAACAGATAATATGATAATATATTTCATACATTCACACATCAGATAAAACATCCTCCTTTATCTGGAGCAGGTCTAGTCCTGCTTCACCTGAGCACTGGAATAGTCATAATCAGGGATGATGAAAAAAAATTTCCCTGTAGCCTTTCATTCATACTTGCATAAGACACATCATAATTTCATTTTAGTTATGAACTTCAAAATGTGTTTTGCACCATGTAACTTTACTTCTGTTGACAATTAAAAAATAAAACTAACCCTACATATTAAACCAAGTAAGACTCAGATATTATCTGCTTATTATTTATCACTTTTTTTTTTTTTTTGAGTCGGAGTCTCACTCTGTCGCCCAGACTGGAGTGCAGTGGCTGCTCCCGGCCACCACAGCCTCGTCCTGCTGGGCTCCAGCAATCCTTCCACCTCAGCCTTCCAAGTAGCTGGAACTACAGGCGTGTGCTACCACGCCCGGCTAATTTTTTTTTTTTTTGATTTAGTGTAGAGACGAGGTCTCGCCAAGTTGCCCAGGTGGGGCTCGAACCCGCGGGCTCAGGCAATCCACTCACCTCAGCCTCCCAAAGGCACGGGTTTACAGGCTGAGCCACCAAACCCGGCTTATTTATCACTTTATAAGTACTAAAGCAACTCTTGGGAAATAATTCATTCTACTTACAAATCCAGGGATCTCACATGCTGTTTCCCTGTTGTTCTGTTCTGGGTCACAGTAGATTCGCAACTTTTGGACATCAAACTATGAACATAAATCCAATAGAGATAAAGTTGAGGCATAAGTTAATGGTTTTTATAAGAGCAACTCATGTGTAGAAACAGCCACTATAGTTAGTAACTATATAAAGTTTACATCATTGCTCTTAGCTAAAACAAAAAAATGCAAAATCTGAATACCTAACATAGTATATGTTATAGTATATAACATAACTCCTAAAGAAAAATTCCCCTGCACCAAGAGCAAATCCCAAATTCTTTTTGGGAACCCAGTGAAGATTTATTAGTATCCTTATATGAAGATCTAGTCTAAAGAGCATTTCTTAGGACACTAAAAAGCTTTCCCAGATTTTCTGTGTTTAACCTAAGTCTCTACAACATTCCTGATTATGTAGGGTGGGCTCAAAAAGCCATCTTTGGTTTTAGAGCTATAGTTGCTGGCATGGAGTGCCCAGCACCTGTTAATGTTTAAATATTTGCTATAACTTGACATGTAACATAAATACATAATGATCACATATGTAAACACATATCTGAATATAACAGTCTTTCTTCATAGAGCTAGAGCAGGAGGGACATACCTTTTCAAAAAAAGGATTTTACTAGAACTGGTTTTTACGTACATACTTCACCCAAACACAGATACTTCAGTTTAAAGAAATACCAAAAAAGTCAAAACAAAACATTTTAAGGTATGAATGGAAAATACCACAGTTACTTAATATTTAAGTTACAGTTTTGTTTGTGAAGAACTCTGACATGCATTAATCTAATTTTATCCTCACAGCTGCAAAGAAATTTTTATAGCCCCCACTTACAGCTAAAATTATATTCCCTTTTCCAAATTCATTATTTAAACTATGTTTCTTCTGGGAAACATGAAATTAATGTTTCCTAGAAATGTAGAATTCTACCCTGAACCCAAGGGAACATTTTTCTAAATATCCTTATAAAATAAAGTCCAATTTTGCATTTTCATACACACACTTAATTTCGCTGGTGAACTGCTGTATTTTGGTTAAGGATCTTAAGCAAATTCATAATTAAGTTAAATATATTTAAATGTGGTAAATTCAATTACAAAGGACAGAAAAAGTTTCATTTTATACAATGAAAAAAATAAATTATTACTTATCCACCTGAACAGTTTCTTCTTTTCCAGAATATTTTCCAACTTGGGTTTGCCCACTGATGAAGATCCCTAAAACTGGATGTAAGGGCTTGGTTTCAATCTGTTGATCATCAATAAACAGAGTTACATCTTCTTCTGTTACTAAGAGACGAATTTGATGCCAGCCTTCATCGAATAATGTCTACAGGAAGAAAGTATGGGGAGATTAAAAAATATAACCTCAACAATGTTTTATTTTCTTGGTTCCTAACCCTTGCTGGAAAGTCTTCACATCACAGATTGACTGTATTATACACCCACTCACCCTGACCCAAGCTACACCTCACATGCTACCCACCAATTTTATTAATCCTGATATTAGTCTGAATACATATCCCAAAGTGGTTGTGTCAAATAATTACTAAAACAACTCCCTCAGAGTCACAAATGAATTACGAATCTCTGAATCCAAATGGCTTTTCTCATTCCTCATCCTATGTACCTCACAACAACTTTGGTCCCCATAACTAGTCCATCTTCCTTGATAGTCTCATGGCTCCTGTGATTCAAACCATTATGAGCATCTTCATTTCTTCCTCTCCAGTTGCTTTCTATCTTGGAGGGCTCTTCTCCCTCAACCAGCCCTTTAATGAGGGAATTCCCCACAGGTCTGTCCTTGACACATTTTTTCCCTCTCCTGTTTGACTTTCTCATCCATTCCTACAGGCCAGTTTTTACTTCTATGCGGTAACTCCCACGTGTACAAAACAGCCTGGGTCTCTCTCCTACACGTGAGTCTTATAACTCTAATACTGGCTGGAATAATTTTGCCAGGATGTTTCACAATCAGCATAACAGAGTATGTAATAAAATAACCTTAAACTATCAAACTATCTTCCTCTCCCTATTTCCCTTAGATAGTAATATCCTCTTTTTCTAAAACTAAGTATCTTTCCTTGAGTTGCCATAACTAACCAGATGCAGAGTTCTACCAAATATGTTTCTTCAAAAGGACTCAAATTCACTTCTCCATTTCCATTCTCATTGCCATAATTTCAGTTCATGGAGATCTTGCTTTATTTCAATAATTTTCAAATTTATCTCCATCTCTCACTCTTCCTTCATACTGAAGCCGCCCTTCATACTGCTACTAGAATTAAACTCTGTCACTAAAGTTTTGTTAGGGGAGATGCTCCATCTTATTAATTTCTGTATCTCCAGGAGGTTGCCTAATCCCAGGATAAAGTTGAAAGTATTGTTTATGGAAGGAAGAAGAAAAAGAATTAAAAGAGAAGACTGCTTTGACCATGGCACATCTATGATCAAGACCTTTTGATGAAACCCTGTCATTCATTGAGTAAAGTCCAAACCAGGCTATATGGTTTTACAGGCCCTTTATGAATTGGGCTCATACCTTACTAGCCTATTCTTTTATACATCTTATGCATCAGACACAGGGGACACCACATACCCTTCTCTAAATAAAACCCCTACATTTTGCTAAACATATGACTATTCAATACAGAATTATTGACTTACTGTCCCCTTATATCTCTCTCCATCAGAATGCTATATATTCTTCAAAATCTACCACATCAATTATGAAGGTTGTTCTCATATTTTATATTAGATTCCATTTTCTCCTCCATACCCTACTAATGCTTTGTACTTCTATTTGGTACCAGTCGCCCTGAATATCCCATTATAGGTGAGAAATATGCCTTATTCGCTTGTCATTTCTTACAGAACCTAAAATATTGGTTTTAATGAAGACAGCAGACAACAAATATTTTTTTAATTTAATACGCTTACTGAATGAAGAAATTGCAAAAATGTATAATTTTTATATACAACCATATATATTTCCTAAATGATATACTGCACCTTTTTGTTGTTGTTTGTTTTGGTTTTGGTTTTTGTTTTGTTTTTTGGGTTTTTCTTGAGTTGGAGTCTCACTCTGTCGCCCAGACTGGAGTGCAGTGGCCGCTCCCGGCCACCGCAGCCTCGACCTGCTGGGCTCCGGCAATCCTTCCGCCTCAGCCTTCCAAGTAGCCGGAATTACAGGCATGTGCTACCACACCTGGCTGATTTTTTGATTTATTGTAGAGATGAGGTCTAGCTGCCCAGGCGGGTCTCGAACCCGGAGGCTCAGGCAATCCACTCACCTCAGCCTCCCAAAGGCACGGGATTACAGGCTGAGCCACCAAGCCCGGCTGATATACTGTACCTTTAGACTATAATAATTATAATAAGAAGAAAACATAATTGCTTTTAGTAATGCATCTGTATTCTGAACACACAACTAGAAAAATAAATTTTTTAAAATTTATTTTATTAACTATATATTTCTTTTTGGAAAATAAAATGTCTTCTAAGTTAAGGTAAACTCTGTATTCATTATCTACCTGGTATTAAATATTCTAATAAAGATTACTTTATTTCAATATCCTGCAGGACATGATAATGTAAGACAGACCAATGTGGACACTGAAACCAACCAGATCAAAATTCAGTTACTGATGTCATTACTTATTAACTGAGCTACTTTGAGAGGGAACATAATATTGTTTAATATCAGTTTATTTGTCTGCAAAATGGGAGTGACAGCTTCTTCAATGGGTGGTTATTATAATTATAATTATAATAATTTCAAATGGACCTAATTATAATTATTATGATTAATTATATTATAGTCATATTTATACACAAATATTATTTCCTTAAGAAGAATCATTAATATTATATAGTTGGCTTCAGAAGTAATAAATATGATATACTTTAGTTAAAATATATATGTATATTTATCAGTAATGTGCCTGGTATGCAGTAGTAGGCACTGAAAAGAGATTATTTCCCCTCAGCCTTTATTCCCATATTGATTAAGAAACAAATTTCCTTTCTCTGTTGCTTTTCTTTAAGAAAGCAGCATTAAAATGTGAAGTCAGAATATTTTCAGTCATGGTAAAATTGTAGTTCCCTTCTCCCAGATGCACATAAACCCAGTGGTGCCTCCTTCCCATGAATGCCATGATCATGGTATTATCCCAGGCACCTGTACCTTAACTCGAGGGTCAGCAAAGGTCACCACTTGTGAGCCATTTATTATGCTGGTGGTTGTAAATAATAAAGTTTTTTCCACACCATTTAAAGTAACTGCTATTTGTGGCCTTCCATCAATGGTTAATATTCTCCATAAGTCCCACATTTTCTTGACCTTAAATCTCTGAGTAGAGACAAATACATATGATGGTGGAAGACCTTCTGGGAAAACATTGCTAGAAAAAAAAAAAGAAGAAGATATATAAGCTTCAAGAATTCTCAACATGTCTACAGATACATCCAAAAAAAGTTTAATCAACATGTAACATTTACCTTGTGAGTTCTGATAAATCAACTTTTGATGTTACTTCATATCCTTTTATCTTTGTTGGTGAAAGTTGGATTCTCTTCTTAACCTTTTTCTTTACACCCAAACCTAAAAGAATATCAAATCCCTTCTCATCGCGAGCTGCCACTGGAATTCGTGTAGGACAGACAGATTCTATAAAACAAAAGCAGTAGAAGCTTGTTAATCATGGAATACTCAAACAAGAAAAGAAAAATCAATGAGAAACACTAGACAATATTAGAATATAAAATCAATATACATATACAGATATCTATAAATATATAAATACATTTTCTGAGAAAACATGAAATCACTTTAGGCATTTAAGAGTGAAATCTTAATTGTCTTTTTTTTTCCTACGGGGGATAAAAGCAAAAGAAAAATGTGAGAGTAACACTTGTTAATGGATTGTCTTTAGCAACAACATGCTGAAGTTAGCAATATGTCTAACACCTTGGGAGCAGGAGAACAGTGGAACAGGATTCCCGATTCTCATCCAGGATTTGCTATTAATTAGTCATGTGGTTTCGATCTCAAAGATGAATTTTGATTGTTTTCTTACATTCACAGCACGTAAGGAGTAAAAAGTATTTGCTGTTCTTGATATTCTTTCCAGTTTAAGACACCTATAATTCTACAACTCAAATATAACTGGTTCTGTTACTCTCTATAAAACTTAACCTGGGCCTTATCTATTTACAGAAGTTCTTCAAATGGACTTAATTATAGATCATTATCTATAATTATTTATGATTAATTATATTATAAATAGTCATATTTATACATAAATAATATTTCCTTAAGAAGAATCATTATTATATAGTTGGTTATAGAAGTAATAAGCATACGACATGCTTTAGCTGAAGAATACAAAAACTGAACTGAAAAATTCACTAGACAAGTTCAATAACAGACTTCAACAAGGAGATGAAAAAGAATCAGCTAACTCAAGGGTTGATCATTTGAAATTATCCAGTTAGAGGAACAGAAAGAAAATAAGAATATAAGATAGTGAATAGACCTAAGGAACCTATGAGACACACCATCAAGTACACCAATATATGTATTTTAGGAGTTACAAAGAGGAAAAAGAGTGTAGAAAAGGAACAGAAAGCTTATTTAAAGAAATAAAGCTCAAAGCTTTCCAAATCTTAGAAATAAATGGACACCTAAATTCAAGAAGCTTAATATATGCTAACTAACTTGAGCCCAAAGAAATCCACACTGAGACACATTATAATTGAATTGTCAAAAGTTAAAGACAAAGATTGAATATTGAAAGCAGCAAGAGAAAAGAGACTTGTCATGTAAAAGGGAACCTTCATAAGCCTAACAGCATATTTCTCAGTAGGAGTCTTGCAGGCCAACAATGGGATGATGCATTCAAAATGCTAAAAGGAAAAAAAAAACCCTGTCAACCATGGATATATACACCTGGCAAAACTGTAAAACTGTCCTTCAAAAATGAAGGAGAAATAAAAACTTTCCTAGATGAAAGTTGAAAGAGTTCATCACCACCAGACCTGCCTTATAAGAAATGCTCAGGAATTTCTCAAAATTGAAACAAAAGAACATTAAACAGCAACACAAAAGCATAGAACAGTATAAAAGTCACTGGTAAAAGTAAATATATAGACAGACACAGAATACCGTAATACTGTAATGATAGCACATGAATTACTTTTAGTTCTGGTATAAAAGAAAAAAGCATTAAAAATATAACTATAAGAATATGTTCATGGATATAAGATGCAATGTGTGGCATAAATAACGAAGTATTTAGGAGTAAAAGTGAAGAGTATTTATATGTAATTGAAGTTACCAGCTTAAAATAAATTGTTAGAACTATAGGATGTTTTATGTAAACTCCATGGTAACCACAAAGAAAATGCCTATGGAAGATAAAGAAAACAATAAAGGAATCGAAGCACATCACTACACATTTTATTTATTTTATTTTATTTCATTTTATTTTATTTTATTTTATTTTATTCAGAGTCTTACTCCGTCACCCAGTCTAGAGTGCGGTGGCACTCTCACAGCTACCTCAGCATCAAACTGCTGGGCTCAGGCGATCCTTCTACATCAGTCTTCCAAGTAGCCGGAACTACAGGTGTGTGCTACCATGTCCAACTAATTTTTTTATTTATTGTAGAGATGAGCTCTCGCCAAGTTGCCCAAGCTGTTCTCAAACCCACGGGCTCAGGCAATTCTCTCACCTCGGTCTCCAAAGTGCTGTGATTACAGGCTTAAGTCACCATGACTGGCCACTACAAATTTTAAAAAGCAATAAAACTTAAAGGAAGATGGAAAATAAAAACAGAGGGACAAAAAGCTACAGGGTAGACAGAAAATAATTTTTTAAATGACAATAGTAATTATTTCTTGTAAGTAATTACCTTAAATGAAAATGAACTAACTCCCTAATCAAAGTACATAGAAAAGCTGAATGGATTTTTAAAAATCCCACTATTTGCTGTTTATAAAAGACTTCCTTTAAATGTAAGAATTTAAGGACACACAGGCTGAAAGTGAAGGAATGAAAGAAAATATTCCATGTAAATCTCAGCAGAGAAGTCTACACTTATATCAGACAGGAAAAAAAAAATATAACAAGTGATAAAGAAAGATATTATATTATGAAAAATGTGTCATGGTGTCAGGAAAATATAACAATTATAAATATACATGCACCCAACATCACGGCACCATAAAGCAATCATTTACAGAACGGAAGGGAGAAATAAACAGAAACACAATAATAGTTAAAGGTTTCAATAATAAATAGAACATTCAAACAGAAATCAGCAAGGAAATAGAGGACTTGAACAATACTGTAGAGCAAATGATCATAATAAACATATACAGAATATTCCACCAAACAGCTGCAGAATACACATTCGTTTTATGTGCACATGAAGCATTCTCCAGGATAGACCACATGTCGGGCCACAAAATAAGTATTATTTAAGAAGATTGAAATCATACCAATATAGTTTCCATCCACAATGGAATGAAACTAGAAATTAATGGCAGAAGGAAAACTGGAAATTTCACAAATATGTAGAAATTAAACAACACACTCTTGAACAACCAATGAGTCAAAGAAAACATCAGAGTAAAAGCTAGAAAATATCAAGTTACAAACTAAAATGCAGCATACTAAAATTTATGAGGAAAACAGTACTAAGAGGGAAGTTTATAACAATAAATGTCCACATTAAAAAAGATCTGATGGACAGCATGGTTGGTTCCAGGTTCTTGCTATTGTGAACAATACTGCAATAAACATTCGTGTGCAGGTATCTTTTTGATAGAGTGATTTGAATTCTTCAGGGTATATTCCCAGTAGGGGGACTGCAGGGTCATATGGGAGGTCGATATTTAGAACTTTTAGGAATTGCCACTCTGCTTTCCACAGAGGTTGCACTAGTTTTACACTCCAACCAACAGTGTAGTAGTGTTCCCTTTTCACCACATCCTCTCCAGCATCTGTTATTTTTTTAGTTATTGATAACTGCCATTCTGACTGGAGTTAGGTGGTATCTCAGTCTTTTTCTTTTAGCATTATGATAGATGTTCAAGGTCCACTATATGAGTGAGAACATGTGATACTCAGATCTTTGTTTCTGTGAGAGATCACTCAGTATTATAGACTCTAGTTCCATCCAGGTTGCTGTGAAATTCATGATTTTGTTCTTTTTTATGGCTGTATAGTATTCCATCGTGTATATGTACCACATTTTTTTAATCCAGTCCTCTCTTGATGGACAGTGGTGGGAAACTATGGGGGGGTAGGGAAGGGAAGGGAGGTGGGATTAACAGTAGTCAATATCTGTCTGGGGACAGGGAGACACCCCTTATCAACAAGGGTGCCTGAACGATGCACATTTGTATATCTAACCTTTAACTGTACCCCACAATTTTATAATAAAAAATGTTTAAAAAAAAGATCTGGAAGAAACAATACAATTTTACATCTCAAGAACCTAGAATAAGAATAGCAAGCCTAAAGTTAGCAGAAGGAAGTAAATAATTTAGATTAGAGCAGAAATAAATGAAATAGACAGTAGAAAAACATCAACAAAGAGAGGTGTTGCTTTTTTGGAACAATCAACAAAACTGACAAACCTTTAGCTAAATTAAGAAAAAATAAAGAAGACCTGAAATCAGAAATAAAAGAATAGACACTACAATTAATGCCACATAAGTAAAAAGGATTTTAATAGAATACTATAAACAACTATATATTAACAAGTTGGTAACCTGAAGAATGGGCAAATTTCTAGAAACATACAACCTAACAAAACTGAAGCACAAATAAATAGAATATTTAAACAGACCTTTAACTACAAAGGAGAGTAAATCAGCAATCAAAACAACCCCACAACAACAAAAATGTCCAGTACCAGATAGCTTTACTGGTGAATTTTACCAAACATTTAATGAAGAATGTAAACCAATTCTTTTTTTTTTTTTTTTTTTTTTGGAGTTGTAGTCTCACTCTGTCGCCCAGACTGGAGTGCAGTGGCCGTTCCCGGCCACCACAGCCTCAACCTGCTGGGCTCTGGTGATCCTTCCGCCTCAGCCTTCCAAAGAGCTGGAACTACAGACACACACCACCACGCACTGCTAGTTTTTGTGATTTATTGTAGAGACGAGGTCTCACCAAGTTGCCCGGGTGGGTCTCAAACCCGAGGGCTCAGACAATCCACTCGCCTCGGCCTCCCAAAGTGCTGGGATTACAGGCTGACCACCAAGCCCGGCCCCAATTCTTCTTAAACTCCTTCAAAAATTTGAAGAGAAGTGAAACTTCCAAACTCTTTTTGAAAGTCCAGCATTAAATTGATACCAAAGCCAGAAAAGACACTACAAAAAAATAAAACTAAAAGCCAATAGCCCTGATGAATATACTTGCAGAAATCCTCAACAAAATAGTAACAACCTGAATTTAACAACATCAAAAGTATCATACACCATGACCAAGTGGGATTTGTCCCTGGGATGCAAGATAGGTCAATATATAAAAACTAATAAATGTGTCATTGACAGAATGAAAACTAAAAATAACATGATCATCTCAATAGATGCAGGAAAGGCATTTGACAAAAATTATCATTCTTCCATGATAAAATCACTCAACAAACAAGAAATAGAAGGAAATTACTTTAACATAATAAAGACCATATGTGAAAAGCTCACAGCTAACATCATGTTCAATGGTAAAAAGTTGAAAGCTTTTCTTGTGAGATTAGGAACAAGATAAAGATGGCTACTCTCACCACTTCAACTCTACATTGTAGTAACTAGATCAATTAGGCAAGAAGAAGAAATAAATGTTATCCAAGTCATGAAAGGAAGAAACAGAATTATCTGTTAGTAAATGATATGATCATCTATTTAGAAAACTCTAAAAATTCCACACATAAGATTCCATACCAAAAAAAAAAAAAACCTGTTTGAATAAACCAATTCAGCAAAGTTGCAGGACACAAATTCAACATACAAAAAATCAGCTGTGGTTCTGTAACAAAAATTAGAAAACAAAATTAAGAAAATACTCCCATTTACAATAGCATTAAAAGGAATAAAGTACTTCGAAGTAAACTTAACCAAAGAGACAAACAACTTATAAACTGAAAACTACAAAACATTGATGAAATAAATTAAAAACACAAATAAATGAAAATACATCTTATGTTCATGGATTGGTAGATAATATTATTAAATTGTCCATACTACCCAAAGTAAGCTACAGATTCAATGAAATTCCTATCAAAATTCCAATGACTTTTTTTACAAAAATAGAAAAGGCAATTTTAAAATTCATATGGAACTTCAAAGAACCCCAAACAGCCAAAACAATCTTCAGAAAAAAACAACTAAGCTGGAGGTCTTACATTTTCTGATTTCAAAATATATTTCTAAGCTATAGTAATTAAAACAGTAGTACTAAAAACAAACATATAGGCCAATGAAACAGAACATCGAGATCAGAAAAAAACTACAGCATAGTATCAGTAAAATGACCTTTGACAAAGGTGGCAGGACTACACAGTAGGGAAAGGTTAGTCCTTAACTTAGCATGATGTCTTCAAGGACTTGAGTAAACATTTTTCTAAAGATAACATACAAATGGCCAACAAGTATATGAAAAGATGCTCAACATCACTAGTCACCAGACAAACACCAATCAAAACTACAATGAAGTGTCACCTCATACATGTTAGGATGGACATTACACTCAATCAATCAATGGAAAGAAGGAAAAAGGGAAAAAAATCAAGTGTGGGTGAGGATGGTGAGAAACGGGAACTCTTGTGTACTGTTGGTCAGAATTTAAAATGGTACAACCACTGTGGAAAACAGTATGGAGGTATCTAAAGAAAATACAATTACCATAGGATACAGTTATCCAACTTCTGGGTATTTATCTAAAAGAATTAAAAACAAGATCTCGAAGAGATATTTGCACTCGCATGTTCATTACAATAGTATTCACAAAAGTCAAGAGATAGAAAAAACCTAGATGTCCATGGATGAATAAACAGATAAGTAAATTTTAATATACATATAATGAAATATCATTCAGCCATAAAAAAGGACATCCTTTCATATGCTATAACATGGGTAAACCTTGAAGACATCATGCTAAGTTAAATAAGCCAGTCACAGAAGGACAAATACTACATGGTGCAATTATATGAGGAGTCTAAAGTAGCCAAACTCACAGAAACAGAAAATAGAATGATGGTTGCCAGTGGCAGGGAGGAGAAAAAAATGAGATGTTGGTCAATGGGTATAGGGTTTCGGTTAAGTAAGATGAACACGTTCTAAAGATATGCTATTCAACACTTTGTTTATAGTTCACTATGTGCATACTGTAATCTTCAAATTTTGTTAGGAGGGTAGATTTCATGTTATATGTTTTATACAAGGAGGAGATAGAAAGAAGTAGTAGTAGTTGTTATTGTTGTAGAAGTAGTAATAGTAGTAGACTTTCACACAGATAAAGAAATCTTTGCCCATCTCAGAAAGAAAGACATCCTTTTTTTCTGAGTATGAAAACACGAGTATTTGGAAAGATTTCAAATTTGATTTTTTTATAGATGGTACATTTTAGCTGAAAGAATTTTTACTCTTTTAAGGTCAGCTACCCTTTCATGTGTGACTGAAATTTTTAAAAATAGAATGCATTTACCAAAATACATATTCACAGAAAAAGTCTTTGAAGCAAATACTGAACAAATATATTTAATCAGTTAAATATGTATTACAAAATAAAAATGAATGATAAGTCAAATTTCTCCAAGAAAAGTCTGTTTTAATAATGAAATATACCTGGTTTCAAAACCCCAAAATCCTAACTAATGTGACAACATACTAAAAATCTAAATCCCTCTGGCCTGTTCAGGATGATAAAAGTCAGCACAGTCTTACTGCACGAGACTCATAAAAAGAATAACCCTAGTGCCTTTTTGTACTTGTTACAATAACTTTCTTTTTAGTTTGGTGAAAGAAGATGCTTAATTTTCTGTACTCTCTTAAATAAGTATTCAAAGGAAAACCTTTATAATATTTTTCTCTACCATATCCCCCAAATATGAAAAAATAGAGAAATTAATACTACAATGTTTTTTAACTCACAAACATATAGAAATTCTTCTATCAAATATACACCAACCTACTTTTGGAGTTTTTGTAAGCAAACTAGAAAAATAAAACCTTCTTCATTGCATATGAATATTAATTTTATAACTATATGGCATATTGCCATCAAAAGTGGAATGAATAAAGAAAATGTGATACAAATACACGATGGAGTATTACAAAGCCATAAAGAAGAACTAAATCATGGATTTCACAGTAAATTGGATGGAATTGGAGACCATCATACTTAGGGATCTATCACAGAAACAAAGAACTAAATACTGCATGTTATCACTCATATGTGGGACCTGAACATTACCCATATTAACACAAGGGAGGGATAGGCAGTCACTGGGCACTGCCAGGGGAGGGTGGGTAAAGCATATTAACAATACAAAGGGCACCTGGTCCCATACTTGGGTAATGAGGGACAGTTAGAGGCCCAATCTTCACCTCCATGCGACCTACTTGTGTAGTTAATCCCTACTTGTACCCTACATCTCTATAATAAAATAAAATTTAATTAAAAATATACGGCATATTAAATGTCTATAAAATTAAAAATAAAAGATATGAACAAATTTCTCTTCCCTAAAATAATCTGAACACAAGCATGACTATGCCCTATCAGGATTAATATTTACCAAAAATCTGAACTTGCCCTAGGAGGATTAATATTTACCAAAAAATTTGAACTTTCCCGTATTATATAGCTAACACAAACATGAAGTTAGATTTTATGAAATTGTATAAACATAGACAATAGATTGTTAAACACTTTCTTTTCAAATGTTCTTTGAAAAACAAGTCAAGCCTTTCAAAGTACAATTTTAACATTCTTCCAGATTTTTTAAATGACAGTAATTTGACCTTTTTTTTCCCTTGAAGCAATGAAAGATTCCCATTCAGAATTATATACAAGAATATTCACTATTGTTATCTATATTAGCAAAACTTAGAAATTAAATATACAAAAACAATAAATTTTAAAATAAATTACAGCAAGAGATTACCTGCTATTATATTGAAAGAATATAAAATTATCTACACAATAGAATATATAATAATATAAAAATTGAGTATGAAATTATATATAATATTAGGCAGAAAGATAAACTCTAAGACACACCGGAATAAAACACAAAAAGACTAGAATGAAACACACAGAAAAACTAGCAGGAATGATATGATTATGTGTGGCTTATATATATTTTTATTCCTTATGTGTATTTTTCCCTACAATCTCCACAGTAGACATGCTATAATTGAAAGGAAAATATTAAATGTAAAAAAATTACATTTTCCATTTATAGATTTTATCAGCAATTGTTTCTAAAACCAAAATTTATCCAGAATAAGTATAAAAACTTGTACTCACCTCAATTCTACTATAAATAATTGGCATTAAATATAACTACCTACACCAATGGTAATAAACAGATTATGCCAAAAAAAGTAAGAACTCACAGTTATTAATTGCTGCCAAATTTAAAGCTTACCTTCACAAAGTTTCTGCTTCATCACTTCCCTTATTTTGGATATTGCAATATAGTCTTCCACATAAAACACATAAGTAGACGAAGGCTTGTTGGCAATAGCTCTCAGTTCTGCATCTTCTGTTTCTGAACCAACACCAATGGCAAATAATGTTATCTTGCTGTCTCTTGCTGCTTCTGCTGCATCCTTGACTTCATCCTGGGATTTACCATCCGTAAGTACCACTGCTATCTTAGTCAGAAACCGTGAGGACTTGGCAAAAAGGTAATCAAGTGCAAACTGGATAGCCTTCCCAGTCCTGGTGTTTCCTCCTAAGTACTGTATGGATTCCATTGCTGCCATCAAACGCTCTTCCGAGTCATAGCTGCCAAGGGGTATCTCCAGTACAGGGTAGTCACTATACTGAACCACTCCAACTTGAATAAACTTCGGTCCTATGTCAAAGTTTTTTGTGATATTGACAAGCCACTTTTTCACTATTTCAAAGTTTTCTGGGCCAACACTATAAGAACCATCTAAGATGAAAACTAAATCTGTAGGAGCAGTACGACAACCTAAGTGCAAAAGAAAACCATCAGAATACATCTTTTATATAAAAAGCCAAAAAGGGAAAGTTTTAAATATATGATTTTCAACTATACATTAATATCATGACTTATTTTAAGTTGTCAATGAACTATGTTTAACTGAATGCTAACCTGAAATATATATTAAAAATATAAAACAATGAATAGGGAAAAAAATTAAAACAAATTTTCTGTCAACTTCAAGACTTAACGTGGTTGATAAAATTTAAATGGACCAAGATCACCAATGCAGTCAACTCTTTCATTACATCCAAGATAAGTTTCTAAAGATCTGATCTCTCATCTTCAGTCAAGAATGTAATTGAAGCATCAGCTTGTGCTGAGTGACTCTACATTCAAGGATATAAAATTATTTATTGCTCAGTAGAGATAAAGATTCTTGTTTCAAGATACCAGGAAACACATGTGATCAGCACATCTTAGAATTCCACTGGGGTTGGGGGAGGGAGCTATTATTGGTGCTAGTTATACTTGAATGAATTACTTGCAATTGTGGAAAGAAAAAGGGGGAAAAAGACCTCCTCAACCCTCTTTTCTACAATATACACAAGCATGTCTCTAATGCTGTTTCATTCTTTCAGCATACCTATATTACATACTTGCTCTGTGCCTGAAATCACACTAGGTACTGAGTTCAAATATACATATAAGATATTCCAAAAAGCTCATCAAAGTCTACTAAGACAAATGATGGGTTAGGAAATGTACAAAGTTCTATGAGAACATTTAGGAGGGGGTAGCAATCTACCTGAAGAAGGTCAGAGAAAGCTTTATGGCAAAGCTAACAGGCAACCAGAGACCTAAGACAAGAGCTTTAACCAAATGTAGAGGAGGATATTTTAATCAACGGGAACAGCAAGTGCAAAGGGCCAGAAGTGGAAGACAGACATAGACTAAAAGATAAACTGGTTTACTTGAACAATTGCAATAGTTTGGAATGGCTTACAGAGTAAGTACACAGAAAGGAATAGAACAGTTGTATTTGCCTTCTCATCTAACTTCTGTGCTCAAAACAGCAAAAATAGCTATTATTTACATCCCATATGCTAATGAGATAATTTTATATTCAAGCTTTGTTTTAAATTTAACACATTTGCATTTAGTACAGGGGAAGTCATACATTACTAGAGGTGACATGTTGGAAGAGAATGAGATGAGGAATTAAGATAATATGACAGCAAATTTTTAGTCTTATGTTTTTATTCATATTAATTGTCTCCCTTTAAGTAGTGATCAGGTGCTCAATTTATAACAAAAAGTGCTAAAATATAATTAAAATGTTATAATAAAGTGATTTATTTTCTGTAGAGATTTACAAGAAGATTTCATAATTATAAAGGATAATACTAAAGAAAAAATTAAGTGACAATATTCTTAGTATTTTTGTATCTCCTTAAGAGCAAATCAGTTTTTTTTCCTCTTTCCCTTCCCTTCTCTATGTCTATTTATATATCTGAGCGGTTGCCAAGGCTCACAAGAAGAGGTCTCAATTCTACATAGGTTATCTTAATTCACCTATCACAATTACCAGCAAAAATAAACACTCATGGTAGGTAAATATTTATAACAGTCAAGAAGTTCCAAAAATAAAAAGAAATGCCAAAACATGAATTTGCCTCAAAAATGTACCTGTGATCATGACATTACTAAGGTATTATATCGCAGGTGGTGGTGTCCTCAGAAGGGTATAAGGGATGCAATTCCAACAACCTCTGCCATGGTGGCCATTGTGAGAGGTCAGGGCATGGGCAGCAGAAATGGAGTTCTGCCCAGAGGCAAACTTGCTAACCCAAGAGAATGTACTTCTTCTGTTATTGTTGGAAGCTGGATAGACTAGGATTAATGGGTTATACTTTTATTGAGGTTTTAACGGGGAGACAAAAGGAAAGGAAAATCGTGTTTTCAGAGCTGTTCAGTGTTGGCCCTTTCTAAATACTGGAACTCATTGTTGTCTGAATCTGCTAGGGTCTGTGTGCCACCTAACTCCAGGGCTTTAGCTCTTACAGGGTTATTCTTGGCTCTTCCTACCCTCCTCCCTGTCACAGAGCCATAGAGCATGTATTTCATAACTGTAAGGTTAGCCAAGAGCATGGGTACATAAGCAAGTATTGCCATTTATAAACCCTAGACATAATACCCCTCCAAGAGACTTCCTCCTTAGAGAGATGAATGGCATCATAGAAAAGGAATGAGATTAAAGATCAAAAGCATAGTTCAGCTACTAATTACTGCTCTCACAAGCTCTATGACACTAAGTGACCCCCTTAACTTTTGTGAGTCTTTTCCCACTCAAGAAAAGACAAAGAAAAGGGTATCTACCTTGTAGAGTGCTTGGGTGAATTAAACTATAAAAGTGTTAATGCAGGCACTAAGTATCATTCTTCTGACAAAATTTAAGCCAAGTTAAATCAAAATGTCAAACCATCTCATTTAACTGTTTTAGAGACCATAGTTTACAGTAGGATGGTTTGTGTTTTTTCATTTTAAAATGTGAATATAACCAAACTTCTAAAAAACAACAACAAAAAAGCAAGCTATCTAGAAGTGATGGTCTGGGTAGCATAACTACAATTAATATAGTTCTTCATCTCTAATGTAAGCTTTCCTGCAGGCAATAATAGCATTTTCTGAGCTGTACTGTGCTAAGCCATTTTCATGCATTACCTCATTTCGTCCTGATACGCAACCTATAAGGTAGGTAGTTTCTTTATCTCCATATCATACAACTCAAAAGTGGCTGAACATGAACTCAGTACCACACCATTTATTCCAAAACTTGATGGGTTCAAATGAACCAACTATTGTCATAGAGTCATCTCAACATTTTCTCTGGGGGAAGATTTTCTACTCAGTTAATGAGTAGCATAGCAATTCATTTATTTTAGGAAATTATAGCATCAAAGACAATAAGAATGAAATCTTTAAAACCATTTCTTGAACTCCCTTAGTTTGATTTTCAGAGTAAGTTTGTTGATAACAAAAAGGGACAATGTTGATAATTCTTACTTGATCTAATTTCTCCATCTTCAGCTAATACAGAATTCTGGGAAAGCAGGACCAAAACTATGCAAAGAAATGTAATGTAGTGAGCCATGTTTCTTTCTTCGTTCTAATATTTTAGTTTTAGGATTCCTAGAGGGGAAAAAAAGAGAAAAAAGTTAAGTATATAAATTAAAACAAACACTGATCCACTGTACATTTAAATTACAATACCCAGTTGAAGTACAATTAATTTTATAATTATTCTTATTGTTGATTTAGATATCTAAATCAATATTTTGTCTGAAATAACTAAAATTTAAACACTGGGGATGTCAAAAAATGTATATACATTTAAAGGGATGTTATCTCCATAATACTTTTAATTTGCTATATTCAGAAGTGTTTGGACACTGTTGAGCATCTCTTGTAACTGCAGAAATCAGACTTGACTTGTATCTATCTACAATTTTAATATAGTTTTTTCCTTTATTAAGTTGTGTATATGTCTTTTGGCACCTCTGTATATTAACATGAGAGGACAATGATTATGGGCTAAAGATCATGATAAGTCTTAATTCCCAATTGTCTTGGAAAAAGCACACACTTTTTCTAAAATTTGAGGTTTGTTCAAAATATTTACTGGAATTCTTCCTTTTGGCATAGCCTGTAGTGCCTTATCACATTCTTTTAAATATCTCTTTTCAATGTGGATTTGCACTTAAGGAACACTCAAAGAATATCTGGTGGAAATATTATATGATAATGCTGAGTGATTAAAATTTAATTTTAAAATGAGGTGAAATTATAAACATTAAAAACTATTTCATTTAATTTATAAACACTCAGTTATATGGCTTTAATATGCCTTCTAAAATAAGTTGAAGGACTTCATTTCTGGTTAGAATATGGGAAGTTGTAAGAAATTGCTTGTCACACACAAAAATGAGTACATACCACATAAACTACAAATCCGTAGTCTTTTAAACTTGGCAGACTAGATAAACTAAATTCCAGAAATTATTAACCCCTTGTAGTATAGAAGAGATTCACAACTACTTTCATCCCTGACAGAAAGGGAATCCTGAGGAAAAGAGATTTGCTATACCATGCGAGAAATCACTCAAAGCTGGTCTAAAAGTCTAGAATCCTGAGGAGGCCACAGAGCAAGCTCGCCCTCATCCAGCAATTCTTCCCATGAGCCCTAACTAAATGCACGGAGTAGGCAAGTATTTGGGAATGGAATAGAACAGTCTAGGGAGACCCTCTTACTTCTTTCCTCTGTCCAGGTACCCAGAGTCTTCCTCAAATATGAAGCAGTGGCCAGGAGGTAAGAAGAAGTTAGAAGTTTTATATCTGATCAGGAGAAAAATTATGAGCAGTATAAGCAAATCCAGGGATTCTCTAAAAATCAGAATGATCAAAAAGTATTTATTAAATGGCTATAATAAACTTGGCTTATTTTTAAAGATGTGGAGTACAATTCAGGGTTAGGCATACGCATGTTCATTATGCAGTTACCCTTGTTGGTGAGGTGTGCCCCCCCCATATGTTAAAGGATCTAGTAAGATGAACAAAAAAAGGAAAGAAATATAAAACTGAAAAAAAAATTAGAAAAATAAAAAGTCCACTTGTTCGTGTCAGCTTTGATTTCTTTGAGCAGTGTTTTGTAATTTTCATTGTAAAGGTCTTTCACGTCTCTCGTTAGGACTAATCATCAGGGAGATGCAAATCAAAACCACACTGAGATACCACCTAACTTCAGTCAGAATGGCAATTATCAACAACAAATAACAGCTGTTGGAGAGGGTGTGGTGAAAAGGGAACACTTCTACACTGTTGGTGGGAGTGTAAACTAGTGCAACCTCTGTAGAAAGCAGTGTAGCGATTCCTAAAAGCTCTAAAAATTGACCTTCCATATGACCCCGCAATCCCCCTACTGGGAATATACCCTGAAGAACACAAATCACTCTATAAAAAAGATACCTGCACACGTATGTTTATTCCAGTGTTGTTCACAATAGCAAGAACCTGGAAACAACCATGCTGCCCATCAAAAGAGGACTGGATTAAAAAAATGTGGTACATATACACGATGGAATACTACACAGCCATAAAAAAGAACAAAATCATGAATTTCGCAGCAACCTGGATGGAACTAGAGTCTATAATACTGAGTGACCTCTCACAGAAACAAAGATCCGAGTATCACATGTTCTCACTCATATAATGAACCTTGAGCATCCAATGTAATACTATAAGAAAATGACTGACGGTACTGGGAAACTATGGGGGGGGAGGGGGATGGGATTAACAGTAGCAAATATCTGTCTGGGGATGGGAAAACGCCTCTTATCAACAGGTTGCCTGAATGAAACGTAATTGTACACCTAACCCTTAACTGTACCCCACAAAACCATAATAAAAAATATTGATTAATAAAAAAAAAGTCGATTCTTTGAACAAATAGATACACTGATAAGCCCTAGCAAGTATAATCAAGAAGCAGGAAAGAAAATATAAACACCTAAGTCAAATCTTTTCAAAAAATTTTAGATTCAGGGAGTACATGTGCTGGTTGAACCTCTGTTGAACACATCATCCAAATGAACATAGTGTCTAATAGTTTTCAACCCTTGTTTGCTTCTTTCAACCTCCATATTGAAGTCCCCAGTGTCTACTGTTTATGACTTTATTTCCATGTGTACCCATTATTTAGCTACCACTTATAAGTAAGAACATGTGGTATTTAATTTTCTGTTTCTGCATTAATTCACTGAGGATAATGCCTTCATACATGTTGCTGCAAAGAACATAATTTCATTCTTTTTAATGGCTGCATAGCATTCCATGGAGCATCTGTAACACAATTTCTTTATCTAATTAACCACTGGACACTTGGGTTGATTCTATGACTTTGCTATTGTGGATAGTGTTATAACAAACAAACAAATTCAGGTGTCTTTCTGATAAAAACAATTCTTTTCCTTTGGGTAGATAGCCAGCAATGGGATTGTTGAGTCAAGTGATAGTTGTATTTTTAGCTTTTTGAGAAATTTTCATACTGATTTTCATGAGGTTGAACTAACTTACATCCCTCCCATCAGTGTATAAGCATTCCCTTTCCTCCATGTCCTGATAGCATCTGTTATTTTTTAAAGATGGTAGCCATTTTGACCAGTATAAGATGGCATCTGAGTCAGTATTGAAAAAGGGGATACTACTAAAGGTCCTATAAACATTAAGAAGATAATAAGTGGATGAACGACATGGATAAACTCCGGAAAAACACGACTTATTGAAACTGGTCCAATTATTTATTAAATAAGTTGAATTTTTCATCAAAATCACTCCAACAAAGAAAACTCCTGGTCCAGATAACTTCACCAGTGATTTATTTCAGTAGTTTCTACCAAATATTCAAGGAAAAAATAAAAATAAAACCCTTTCATTAACTGAAATTAAATGAAAATAGAGAAGTGAACACTTCCCAATTTTCATTTTTATTTTATGACCCAATCACATCTTAAAGGCTCCATTTCCCAATAGGTTTACATTGGAGATTAAGTTTCAACATAATCATTATCCTTCATGAATATAAATGTAAAAATATATTATAAAACATTAGCAAATCAAATCTAGCAATATATAAAAAGATCATGATCAAGTAGGATTCACCATAGAGATACAAGATTGTTTTAACACTCAAAACTCAACTTAAATAACTTACTAATATAATTATTAAATATAATTAGTTCTTAAGTAAGAAGAGACTAAAAAAGAAAAATCACATGACCATCTCAATGTGTGCATCAAAGTATTTAACAAAACTTAACACTCATTCATGATTTTAAAATAAAAACTCACCAAACTAAGAATATAATCTAACCTGATGAATGTGAATATTGTCTAGAAAAATCTGTGTGTAGAGCTGTGAAATGCTGAATTCTTCCCCCCAAAATCAGTAAGTAGTTAAGAATATACTCTCACACCACTTTTATCCAGAAACATACAGAAAGCTCTATCTGATGCCATAGGCAAAAATGAGAAATAAATGATGCAAGGTTTATAAAGGAAATAATAAAATTGTTATCATTTATAGAAAACATAATAATCTACATTGAAATTGGAATCTACCAAAACACTAGGAGAAGCAATAAGTGAAGTTAGCAAGGTCACAAGACACAAGAGTAATAGTTTTGTTTAAAGTACATCTGTAGACTAGCAACAAAATTGGGAAGAGAATTTCATACAATCTTAAATACAGTAATTCCCTACATATGAACCTTCAAGTTGTGAACTTTCAACCTGTATTCATATGTCTAATCACATAAATTAGTTCACATGACTGGCATACATTGTCACATGCATACATCCTCTACAAGTGATTATGCTTTTGTGTACTTGCTGTATAGTACTATATAAAGTACAATAGTCAGTATCTTTATTTCAAGTCTAGGATGTCCAGAAGCAAGCATAAAAGCAATGTGTTAATTGGGTACCTCAGCTAACTTTGTCGGACTTTTGAACAAATTGGATTCACGAATGTGCTCTCAGAACAAAACTCATTCATACATAGGGGACTTACTATAATATTAAAAGTAGCATATACCTAGAAATAAAGCAAATGAAAAATGTAAAGGACCTTTGTAATGAAACACTGTTGAAATATTGAGAGAAATTAAAGAAAACAAATAGATTCATATTTATGAATTTTTAAAAATTGTTGATATGTCCATCCTCCCTAGATCGAACTATAGAGTCAATTTACTCACAATTAAAATCTCAGCAGACTTTTTAAATGAACAAACATTCCAAAATGTACAAAAAAGGTAAATAATTTTGAATTAAATGATCTTGAAAAAGACCAAGCTTGACTAAGAATGAAGTTGGAGAATTTATATTAGCTAATATTGACATGTCTTAGTTTATTGTCTGTTGCTATAACTGAAATTCTGAGACTAGGTAATTTATAAAGAAAACACATTTAATTCTTTCAGTTCTGGAGGTTGAAAAGCCTAAAGCAGAGGTCCCCAATCTCTGGGCCACTGACCAGTACCAGTCCACGGCCTGTTAGGAACCAGGGCTGCACAGTAGGAGATGAGCAGTGGGTGAGTGAGCAAATCCTCATCTGTATTTACAGCCAATCCCCA